GGAATGTCACCCTGGTAACACACCACTAAGCTTCGGGCAGGCCTGGGCCAGCTGGCTGAAGGGAACAAGCCACTTCCTGTTAGTCACGCCGGGAACAGGGGAAGAACACGGAGCTAATTGCAGCCGGGTCGGGTTCTGCTGGACCACAGAGAGGTGGATTAGTACCTAGGCTATTCCAGTTTAGCCCCCAGGAGCCCTCTGGCCCAGAGACAACACCGTCCCTCCCCCGCATGCTGTGTTCTGTTGAGCATCATCCGGCACCAGGATGTGACTGTCCTCGCCACAGTACATTGCACCACACCCTAAGGTATACCCTAGCCTGCCTCCAAGGACATCTGGCACCCATGCTAGCTTGCTGCTAGTTCTGTGCTGCAGCCAAAGAACTTCCCGCCCAGCGATTTCATTGCATCTCCCCGGTACAGGACCACACAGGTCCCCAGGAGCTGCTAGCACCAGGACACAACTGTATGCCTTCTGCGTAGTGAGGGCATAGCCCTGGTGGCTGATGTCCAGCCCAGAGACGCAGGGCCTTGCACCCCTGCCCCTTCTACTCTGTTGTGCTGCCAGGGCTGCGAAGTAGTGGAGTGCGGGGCTGCCGAGAACTGCGTGGTTCTCACCGCAATTCACAATGGCAGACCTCAGATCCTCCTGCAACTTCTGGTGCCCAAGGAGAATTGCCATCAGCAATACAGGGGCTATGACACGAAACGCAGCAAATTGCCAGCACTGGTGCCCATACAAAGTAGCCAGCATCAGGATGTGTGTTAGCCACCTGCAAATCCTCAAGGACAAAGGCCAGCTCTCAGTGCAGCAGAGAGGCAAAGCCATCCACCTGCAGCATGAGACACCAGGCAGCAGTGTTCCCTGCAAGCAGTGAGCTCCACTGGCCACCCAGGAGACAGTCAAAGGCCGCCCCGTTGATTAGCAGAGCGCCCACAGCCAGCAGTGTGTTTCTATTGGTGGTGCACATCTGCACATGCCTCAGTGCACATAATAAAATTTATTCTGCGCAGGGATGCGCGCTCTCCCCTCCAGACCGGCTTCCTCTGTGCAAGAAGCAGCCCTCTTTTCCCATCTTGCATCTGAGCAAAGGCCTGATTCTGTGGGGCAGCGCACCCTCTCAATTCACCGGGAGCAGAGCGGGGCTTAGCACCTTGCAGAATCCGGCCTCGGAGGGGAACAAGGAGGAAAGGAAGAGCCACTTACTGATTTTTTGGGCCGGCCTCGAGGTTTCCTCCCAGGTGTTACTGCAGCTTTCTAAACACAAAAAGAATGTTTAAGTTCCGAGAGGGGATGGAAGAAACTCCCCCTCACCGCCACCCTTGGAAATCTTCGTGATGCTGATTTCGGTCCTTTTCTAGTTCAGGTGGCACAATGGTCGATCCTTTCTCTCCCCCCCTTCCCTGCCACAACGACTTGCCAAACTCATCACACATGTGGCAGTTCCCAGGCTGCCCTGCAGCTGCTGCCCCACCTACTTCCCCCCATCCTTCAAGTTATTTTCCAGCATTTGAGGGCTGGGTCCCGGCCCCATGACTCAGAGAACTTTGCAGGATATGAGTCGCATGTTTTCAAAACAGCTTGTAAGACAAACACATACACAAACCACATTCCCCGAACCTTCCGTGTCTCTCCCCTGCCTTCCCCCACGTATAAGCACAATGATGTCTCATCCTCCCAGTCGTTTATATAGCCTGTCCTCACAGACTTCCTGCGGGAGGGGGGAAAGGGAGCTGGTAACCTCATCCTCCTTCCTCACACACACACGACCTCGGGCAAAGCAGCACGACATGCCTGGGTCACTGCTGCCACCGATTCCTCCCTAGGCACACCCCCCCCCCCCCCCACCCCACCCTTGTCCTTCTTCGAAC